ATTCCTGCTCTTGTCTTTCAGGTGACCCATCCTGAGGATATTTCTCGTAGGTATACAGCAGACACAACATATTTCAAACGCTGGTTCTATGCTGATTACGGGTTTACTCTAGCTACTCTTTGGTCTCCGTTCTTGGTTAAGTCCCGTGATGCAGACCCCAATGGTCATTCCCTCAACAGCCTGATGAGCCTTTACTTAGACCAAGCTGATGAGGCATGGGCTAGTCAGATTGAAAGTTTCGACTATGTGATCATCTCAGCTGGACAATGGTTCTTCCGTCCTCTTATATACTACATCAATGGTCAGATTGTTGGTTGTCATAACTGCTACATGGAAAACATTACTGCTGTCACAAAGTATTATGGCTACAGAATGGCATTTCGAACTGCGTTTGAGACCCTTCGAAGCCTAAAGAACTACAAGGGCATTACATTTTTAAGGACATTTTCTCCTTCACACTTCGAAAATGGAGCGTGGAATGAAGGAGGGAATTGTATTAGGACAACGCCCTTTACAAGCGAGGAAATGAAGTTCGATGGGTATAACTTGGAATTCTACCTCACACAAGTTGAAGAGCTAAGGAAAGCACAGAAAGAAGGGAGGAAGGGGGGTTTAAAATTTGAGCTGCTAGCAACTACAGAAGCAATGCTGCTGAGGCCAGATGGGCACCCAAACTATTATGGTCGCTCACCTCATAGCAATGTGACTGTAGCTGACTGCGTTCACTGGTGCTTGCCTGGCCCCATTGACACTTGGAATGAGTTTTTGCTTTATATGATAAGGAAGGAAGCGTGGAGATCTTTTTATGAGAAGCTACAGAAAACTATTTCATGAAGAAATGAATATATTCGTATATCTTCAACACGTTTTATCAACACTATTCGTTATTCTTTGTAATCTTTGTTCTGTAATGGGTTATCGTTTACAAGTAAATGAAGTGTTTACGAACATATGAAACAAGAACATGGAAAAGGTTTCATGTTCCCCTCACATTACACATACCGACAGTCGAATCAACATACCAATGGGATCAAATCCACTACTTCTAGCTGTTATCAAAGAAGCACCGAAGCTTTCAAATTATTGCATTTTGAGAAGCCATGGACAAACATATGTATCAAATAAATTGAACAGCCCAGTCATCATCACCTATGGTGTTTGGTATTGAACTAAATAGAGTGCAAAAGGGGTGCTCATTTTGCAAGATCTTTATTTCTTGGTCCGGACCCCGTTAATCCTCCTTTTCATGTTACTATCCACTGTGTATTTTACTGATTATGTCACCAGTTACAGATGATGACGAATGTATTGGAATTGGATGATGCTAAGTTCATGAAGTTCTCCTCCAACTAAATTTTACATTTCTTAGGTCAAATCTCTATTTGAGAACATCAAAAACTCTACGAATCACAGCTATAATGTTCTTTCCTCCCTATAATGTCATTGCTTTATCGTTCTTTTTTTCCTATTTTCCACCCACTAATCATTAATTTTTCGTCCATGTACAAGTCTGCGGCAACCTATCATAAAATTGGGAAGTGGTAAACAGCTTCCTTGGATATATATATATATATTATATATAAGAGAGAGAGAGAGAGAGAGAGAGAGAGGGAGGGAGGGGGAGAGTTAGTCCAGGCAGCCAACTGCATTACAAAAGAGGAACAAGTCACTTCTTTACAAAATAATGATTTACACACCGGAAATATCTCACATTCAAATATGGAGAGGAGAATTTTCTTGATGCTACTCAAAATGAAAGCTTGATGAAAACCACAATGTGCAAGAATAAAATGTAGATAACAAAAGCCGACCTCAGGAACATGAGTCTCTGTTGGTGCTCAGTTCGGCCCACCAGTGGAATATGGTAGCTTGTCGACAATATAGTCTGCAAAAGCAGACCCCTTGTCCGAGGTGCTTCTTCCAAACCGATTCCTGGCAGTATTGCCCTCTACATTGCTACTCTCAATCCTCCTCCACAACCCATTCAACCTTTCTAGCTCCATCTCTTCCAAATGAATTTCACTGACCAGGCCCTCTGCTTGTGCCTACAAACAAGACACCATTTTGAAAAGTTGGTGTTTATTCCATGAGGTATCTACTCCACATTGATACAGAAGTCATAAGTAGTAGCCAAATTGTAATAAATTGTAAAATCTACCTGTTTAGCTGCTAGTTGCTCGATTAGGCTATGAAGCTGTTTATCCAATAACTTCTCTCTCTGAGCTGTGGCAAAATTACTTTCAAGTCAAATTTCCCCTGTGCAAGTTACTCCTTCAAGAGTGATAATTTTTCTACTAAATACCAATTGCATAGGTTATCTTGTCACTGATTACAAAAGGAATATGTTTAATCACTGAACATCAACAAAACACTGTGAAAGAGTTATTGAAAGAAACAACATTTAGCAATCAGATCAAGAGATCACCATGGAACATCCACTGTACACAACAAATCTAATCCCCACCTAAAGGTTGTAATCCTCCCTGAAGCCTAACATAAGACACTTTCCCAAATGTTACAATCCTATTCCAGGGAAAGCCTAGCCCAATGTTATTAAAATCACTTTTTTTACTTGGATCATTAGAGGTACTGAAAATCGTAATCGTATTGTAAGATCAGATTGTAAAATCATAAGATTTTATGGACTCAAAAAAAAAACAAACAAAATTAATAAAATACCTATGCTCAAGTGATAATATTAGTAACTAATCATTTCTCTAACAACAATTGTAACCAATTAATTTTACTGTTAATGGTAGATATGTAATTTAATCATACTTGTGTCCATGGAACAATACCATGCTCATGCAAAACAAGGCTTGGCCACACCGAACAAAAGAAAAATGTCGTTCCACGGAGACAAACATACTTGGGTATATCAAGTCATTCTATGGTATAAGGTTTCATCGAAATGGAATCAGATTAGGTACACTCATGACACCAAGGTCATATCAAATCATGTGACTCAGGCCTCTAAACCATTGACTTATGGAAGTCCAAAATAGCCCAAATTTCTTATTTACCCAAAATTCCAAAATCATAAAATCAGAAAGTAAAATTGAGATTTTATTGATTCAACAACCTATTTTACTAAGATCTTAACCAATTATGATAGTTAGTGTTTAGAATCATTAACGCTATTTTAATTTTAAGATTTCAAAAACTTTTTTAATAACCATGGCCTAGTCTTTGCAAACGCTGATCTCTTGGAAACCAAACTCAAGTTTGTCCCTTCGACAAACTTCGAGAAAGCAAGGAAAGAAATGTAAACTAAAGTCTGATCTCAGCTCCCTCTCTTTTTCTTTCACACACACACACAAAATGATGAAAGAATATCAAACTTCAAGAAGATTTCTGATATTTCAAACCTGGACCAGGCTGCTTCAGTGCATTCTCTTGAACTTGTATCCACCTTTTATCTAAATCTTGAACAATTTCTTCCAATGAACTCTGAAGAGAATTAAGGAAGATTTTCAAGAACTTATAACAAAAGGAGCTGAGTTGAGAAAGAAAGCTTGTATGAAGTAGACAAATGCAAATCTACCAATTCTTTTTTCTTGTTATCCAACTTCTCTGATATATCAGACTTTGCAGCTTCTGCATCTGATCCAGCTTCAACTGTTGTTTCAGATGCATTAACTGATTCACCAGAGTTTCCGTGTTGTCCAGCATCCATTGCAGTTTCTGCATTTTCTAGCTCCTCTATCAAAGCTTGTTCAATCTCATTCATTTCCTAACATTTCATTACATAAAAGCAAACATTAAATTACAGAAGAAAAAAAAAGGAAGTGAAAGCCGAACAAAGTCTATTTATTGAAGCAGAAAAAAATAAAGAATGCCAGGACACCAGGAGATGTATGTTTATGACTAATGACTGAAGCGATCGTAGAAAAATTGCACATAACTCATCAGAGAAGTATATAGATTGGCAGGCAAGTCTGACCTGTAACTTCCTAAGAAGTAAATCTGCTTCCTGAATTCTCTCATGTATGTTGTTCTCACAATTTAATATAGCCTTTTCATACTTGGCATTTTCTTCCTGAAGGGTCACCTCTCTCAATTGGGCCTGTAATAAAATTGGATCCAAAATACTTGAAGATCAGAAGGCAATAATCATTTAATGTTATTATATAGAAATTAAATCAGCCTTTTGACCAGAACTCATCCAGGTTCCCAGTAATACATATCACTGGCTCACCATCACAAATTAACATTACACTAAGAAAGAAAATTTCTTTTTGAAAATGTGCTGATTCATTTACATTATTAGATTGGTCTTGTCAAGTAGAAATTATAGAAGGAAAAAATAGAATTCACAGAAGTAGCCAACCTCTCTGAGTTTACAGATATTCAGCAAAAGATAATGCTTAAGTTAACCAAATATTTTTACATTTAACCATTTGGAAAATAATGTTGTGCAATAAAAAGGCATACCAGTTATGGCCCCACTAGATTAGAGCACATAGAAGGAAAGTTTGAAAACTATCCTACTAATGTCCTTCATTGCATGAATGAATGCACACTTATGGTGACAATCTGAGACTTTTATAATTGCATCATGCAATGGACATCAAAATTCCCATCTAATAGGGTCAACTTATGGCTTACGGAAAAGAAAAGCTTTCTTTATGCTGTCAACCCAGGTTCCACCAGAGCTTGGTCCTCCAGTGTACCAGGAAGAAAGGAAAAGGAAAGTATAAAATAAAAAAATAACCAAAATCCATAGTAACTGAATTTCAGTTTTTATTTCAATAGTTTCTCACTTGGAAAGGATATGAATTCAATGATCATCCCATTTCACATGTTGTCCTCTACTGATGTGAAGGTTGCATGCCACATATATTATCAGAATGTAATGTCTTGCCACTAACATCTCCTAATAGCACTTTTTTAAAACAAAAGAACTAAACTCTATTCACATCTTTAGAGAGATACTTCTAATTGAGCTTTGCCTAGATAGATTCATAAAATGCCAAGAGTCAGGTGAGTATATGGCTTTCTATTGCAAGAGATTTAGAACACAACTTGAGCTTTTGATTCACCTAGTAGTAGAACTTTGCATGTCCAAATTATCTATAGTAATCTGTGCACGCTGCATATTCACATTTTACTCCAGAAGACACCTAGCAGTTGGAAACTCCCTCTCAAACACAAACACAGTCACTACTCACTACATGATAGATTAGACCTGCACCATCACCTTCACCCCAACCCACAAAAATTTACATGCCCTGCAGATCATGCTCTTTCTTTGAGCATGTAGATTAATTCCACCACCAACTTCCCTGATCCCAAGCAATTCCTCATATGGAGCTCAATCACTCTTAAGATTGAAAAAAGAGTAGGTTCGGGAAGTGAACCAATGTATCCCTACATAGACCACCCCCCCCCCCCCA